TGTCATTTTTAAGAGGTTTTTATATTCTAACGTTACAGCATAATTTTGTAGTTAGATGGCAAATCCAAATACGTTGAAAAATATAAAAAAAAGTAAGCAATAGGTACATATATTTATTTGATTTTGTCCACTTTTAAATACTGATAATGTCATATCTAGTTTTGAACATGCACAGTATAGGGAATAAAGTATTCAAATAGGTATATCGTTTTGCATAAAAAAGCTTGAAATACAGCAGCTTGTATGTGTATATGTTAAAATTATCAATAATAGAATTTTTATAAAATCATTTGACATGTTTTTTTCACCCTGCGTAGAATTCGGTATGCGTTTTACGGTGTGTTTACGGTTTTGGTACATTTATAAAATAGGGCTTCTATTTTCATCGGCCTTTTATCCTCTGACAAACATTTTTCCTACTCAAATCTGACGTTTTCCTCTTCTCTTTTTTGTGAAATTTATAAAATTCCAGTGTTGTCAGATTACTAAACTCGATTATCTAATCCGTAGCCGGTGCATAGAAAATATTCACTAGCCATTTAAACGAGATTTGCAAATCTGGATTATATTTTAAAACGGTGCATATGGGCGTTAATGGAAGAAAATCATATAAATCATATTTTCAACAATTTAATATTTTAACACTGCATATATACATCTATAAATGCATAATATAAGTATATTAAAAGAAAACTTAAAGAATTTAGAAAAAAAATTAATATTCATAAATACTAAACCAGACATGGTAATTTATTAAGAATTCCAAATCATAGAACAACGTTCTATGAAAAATGTCCGTCATATGCTGGTATACAACTATATTTTAATAAGTTGCATCAGTTAATAAAATGAAAAAAATTTAAATTCTTTGAAGAAAAAAAAATTTAGAATTCTTATTAGATAATTGTACATAAGTGCTGCATTTTTAACTACATAAGTATGTATTCCACTACGTCTATATCTATTTATTTTATGTGCTACGTGATATGCTGATGTGTTCATTTTATATTTACTAACTTGAAAACAAATGTATACAGTAATTTCTGCTTTTTATGAATACACCCTAATAATGCGTTTTTCTTTAAATTTTGGTGGTGATTGTATGTTAGAAAAAAGAAGTATTTGGCATAGTGAAAATTTTTATTTACCATTGGCGTCAGGTGTTGGGAACAAAAAAGGCTTTATTTTTTGGGAAAATGATATTAAGGCTTATTTTAGATAACTTTATCTATCAGATTTATAAATCAGCGTCCCCAAAATAGGTTGTTTATTTCTAACTTTTTAGTTTAAATGCCCTAATCCTATTTCGTTTTAAACACCTGCATTCCATTTCGTTAAATTCAGTATCCTCGCAACTACTTGTATACTATGATTTAGGTTTTTTAGAAATTTTGCTAAGACTAAGATACGCGCTCTCTGTTACCGTTGGTATGCTGTGTTGTTTTAGAGCAAATTATTCAAAGAGTGCTTTGAAACACAAGTTTTTGTTTGACATTTAGTAATTGAAGTAATTTGAAAATTCGGAAAAAAATCCCAACAATCCCCCTCCGTACTCCAAAGGTGAAAACAAATATTTGTAGATTTGAAAAACCTATCGTCGCTGGAGATCGAACCCAAACATACATGTTCCTCGGAGATGTGTCCTTGCCGTTAGAGTATCCTGTGTATTTAACGAACGAATAGATCCTTTTTCCTAGATGACCCGAACGGGGAAAATTTTCTACATTTTTACAAAATTATGTTTATGATTTTCTCATGGAATTGCCTTTAGCACATAGACAAAGCTTTTTCTTTCAATTAGAAGGTGCTCCCATAATTTCTGATAGGAACTTTTGAAATGCAACTTTTCCTATAAAGTGAATAGGTAGAAATTCTCCTTTAGAACCATGGCCCTCCAGTTCGCCGGATATTACCCCTTATGACTTTTTATGTGGGAACACTTGAAAAATAAAGTGTATGCTACTCGGCCGCGTGACAGAGAGCAACTTTGCATTAGAATTAAGCAAGCGTGTCAGGAAGTTACTCTCCAAACTTTAAGAACAGGGAATTGTTGAAAAGTGTATTATTTTAGAGGTAGTTATGTTGAAAAGATAAGAATATAAAACAATGTAATTTGTAATTTAGTTACCACGGTTACAAATAAAGAAATTATTTAAAAGTGACTAAAAATATTTTTTTTACTAAAATCAGCTCTTGCGATTTTCAAAATATGAATTTAAACCAATAGTAAATAAAAATGTTTACTATGCCAATTACTTAATTTTTTAACATACAATCACGACCAAAATTTGAAGAAAATCGCATTATTAATATCAAAGATATTAGAGTTTATTCATGAAATTTAAGATACACGGTATAGATATTCTTTGTAAAACACTTTGTAAAACTGACTTTTCAATACCGGGTACGTAGTAATGATCTTATTAGAAGAAATACTTTTTTGTTTTTTTTTTTAATTTTTTTTCTGAATTTCGTTGAAAAACAAGAAGATCTGGTCATGTGACCAAAATCCCTAAGCCGGACGATAGAAAATGCTTGTAAAGGGTTTTTTATTGTTATAGACGTGTAGAAGTATATTATTTCATATCCCTAACAAAAAGCAATTTTACTTTTAATTTGACAGGTTACACGGTAGCTCTAACCACCGGGGCATAGTACATATTATTTACCTATCCCTTGTACCCATCTATAAATAGCAAGCAAAACCACGACAAGCCACTTTTTGCAAGTCAGATGAAGGAGTAGTTGGGACTTATACCTCCATGGTAGCAGAAAATATTTTAATCCACAATCGCTGCTACAGGTAAACAGTTAAATCAATTTGTAATCATAAGTAAAATTTTCGCCTCGTTTTTTTATTAGTGCCTTTCTCTAGTTTTCCATCTTAAAGTGTAACTCTTACTGAAACTAGGGTGGATCCCTATGCTGCACCCCTGACCACCCTACAGAAGCATTATATTTTTTATTTTTTGACATAGTCTCCCTCTACACTAATGCACTTGGTCCATCGGTGCTCTAGCATCTCAACAGCCTCCTGGAAAAATGTTTGTCCGACCTCTGCAAATCACCTCTGTACAGTTTGTATCAGTTCATCATTACTGGAAAAAAATTTCCCACGTAAGTTTTCTTTTAATTTTGGGGACAGCCTGTAATCACTGGGGGGTGAGACCTAGTGAATATGGTTTGTGCTCCACTAATTCAAAGCCTGCTTTGTGTATAGCAGCCATGACAATACAAGATATATGGCTGGGAACATTATTCTGATGGAACAGCACACCGTTTCTTAACTTTTCTCGCCGTTTCTCTTTAAGAGTGTCTTGCAATTTAGTAATCAGTTGTGCGTAATAGGCTCCTGTAATTCTCTATTCCTTTTGCAAATAGTCAGGATGATTCCTTGAGCATCCCAGAACATAGCAAAACCTTTCCAGCAGATGGCACGACTTTGAATTTGCGTGGAGGAGAACCGCGATGTTTCCACTCTTTATTTTGAGCTTTATTTTTGGGACAATCATGGTGCACCTATGACTCATCCATAATAACATACCGACTAAGAAAGTTCTCTTGGTTTGCTTGGTGCCTTTCCAAAAGTCGCTCAAAAGTCAGCACCCGATTTCTTTTTGGATCAATGGTTAACATTCGGGGCACCCATCTTGCACTCATCTTCTTCATATCTAATTCTTTATTCAGTATGTGGTGCACCACATGATATGATAAGCCAGTATCTTCCACAATGTCTTGCAGTACGATATCGTGTACCCTCTTAATGTTTTTGTCTGTTGTTATCGTTATGGAAGGACCACCAGCATTCTGATTTTCACAGGATGTTCTTCCCAATGTCTTTATCAATTTGAGTTGGCGTCATACCTTTTTTCTGAAGGTATTTTATTACGGCTCTTTGTTCTATTTGATACATTTTTAAACGACTTCAAAAAAGAAGGAGGTTCTTAATTCGTCAGAATATTTTTTTTATGTATGTTCAGCGATAAGCATTTACGAAGTTCTTCGATTTCTATGATTGTTTTTGTTAGAGAGGGGGTACTTCAGAGGTGGTCCCATATAAATTTGGTCAAAATCTAATAATGGGTTCTATCAGAAATCCATCAAACTCTTCATTTTTTATGTATTTTAAGCGATAATTCTTTACCACATTGTCCGATTTCTATGATTCTTTTTTTGTGAGAAAGAGGATACCTTAGGGGTAATTCCGTATACAATTGGTCAGGATCTGATGATCTATAAGAAAATCAAAAATCTCAATTTTTTAGGTCATCTGCACGATTTTAAAGTCGGTTTTTTAATTAAAAAATTATGAATAATCACGACACATAGTTCAAGAATTAGCCACATCATACATAACAACGCTTTGAGATACAAAGTTGATATTTTTTAGATATGATCTACAAAAGTCGAAACTAACTGTCGAAAACATTAATCACTTAGAAATACGTCAGGGGCGGAGCATGGGGATCCACTCTCTATTATCTGGGTATATAATACAAAAGAAACACTTTTATTAAAAAATGATGTAAACAAAAATCCAATTAAAAAGCGTATGTATGCTTATATAACACTGGACATTTCTCGCTTCCCCGAGTCTTTTATGTATCTATATATCTAACAAGAGGTTAACCTTCAAGTAGAAAATAGCTAACCTCCAAGAAAATATTACATTGAAAAACCGACCATAAGAAACATAAAATTATGCATGAGTTTAATTATTTTTAGTGCAGTCAAAACAAGGAGTAATATTTTGTACAAATTTATGTACCTACATTGTTCTGTTAATTTTCTACTACGTTGCCCTTAATGCCTATTGAATTAAAATTTATTTACAAAATTCGTATCGTTTCTACAATCTCATCAACTTCATTGCACCTATCATCATTATCGTTTTCAGAATACAATTAATAACTCGAAAAACTCTAATATACAGAAAATATCATTCTCGAAACAAGGATATTGTTTTATACTTTTTCAAACCCTGTAATGTCAGTTTAATATCATTCATCTATGAGCTCGAACTCATCAGCACGATACTTTCTTCTTTTCAAATAAACATGTACCTTAAAAATAACAATACATAAAATAACTAGAATAAGAACTACAATTAAACCTAAGGTAACATTAAACATCACACTTTTTTGAGAAATGGGTTCGCTTACAGCTTTGTTAGTAACTTTTTCATTATTACAATAAATGCCTCCTACGTTAACTTTATCCAAATCGATTTTATCTTGCACTGTATACGTAACGCCTCTAGTTTGAAGATATTTGATGATTTTGGATAAGAGTTCGCATGATAACATATTGAATTTTATATCTAAAATACTTAATAAAGGTAAATTGGTTAAAATTACATCATAATCTATATCACGAAGTTTATTGTAAGATATATCTAACACTACAAGATTTTTTAAAGGTTCTACCAAAGCATAACTTAAGCTAGTAAGTGAATTCCTTGACAGATTTAGTACTTCTAACTGCCTTAAACTAGAAAACGTTTCATTATGATCAAGTATTGTTAGATTATTTTGTGACAAATCTAATAAAGTTAAGTTATGAAGATCTTTAAATACTTCCTTTGGTATCTTTTTAATACTGTTATTGATAATATACAATTTTCTTAAACTAAATAAACCGTTTAGACAAAAACTTGATAACTCCATTTTGTTACCAGATAGACGAAGCGTTTTCAGATTTAAATATTTCTTAAAAGTATTTGGTTTCATTTCGGTTACATTGTTATTGTCTAAAATTAATATTTCTAACGTGTTATTAATATTAATACTTAAAATAGAATCTATTTGGAGTCGGTTATTGGCTAAATTGAGGTACTTAACGCTTTTTAAATCTTTCATATTTAAGAAAAATAGTTCGTTATTGGATAAGTCGAGAAGTTCTAAAAACTGTTTATCTTTGAAGACATTGCCTTCGATAAATGTTAATGCGTTGTTATCAACTCTTAGATTTTCCAAATATTCTAAAAACGTAAAATGGGAGTTATTTAGTCTATTCAATTTATTTCCTTGTAGTTTCACTATCCTTAAAGATTTTAAAAATGCAAAAGACGTACTTAAATCTTTGATGTTATTATGACTTAAGTCAATTTCGTACAGATCTAAAGAAGAAGGAAATGAAATAATTGTTGACGAATTCAAGGGTGGTGGTTTATTGTTAATTATTAGAGAATTTCGTTGAATATTTTGACAATACAAATTATGTCCTAAATCTTGAATTTCGTTTTTAGAAAAATTTAAAGTCGTTAACATTTTCAATTCACATAGAGGTACGTTATTTAAATCTTTTAAATGATTCTCAGTGATATGCAGTTCTTTTAATGACTTTAAATCATTAAAGGCACCTTTTTCAATAAAGCTCAATTCGTTTTTCACCAAAGTTAATTCTTTTAAACGTTTCAGATTTGATAAAGAGTTTTTAGTTACTTCGAATTTAGTACTAATAATTTTCAAATCTTCTAGATTTTCGAGCAATTTGAACACCGACTCAGATTTCTTGTAGCTAAAGGTTGAATTTTCTAAATAAAAATGTTTGATATGTTCGACATTATGAAATAGATTTGGAGATACTTCTGTTAAATTGCAGTTTTCCATCTTGAGGCTTATTTCGTTGGTGACTTCTAGTTCTTGTAGCAGGTGGGTGAAATTGTTAGTGAGGCCTTGGCAGGTGATGTCGTATCCTCTTTCGTAGAATGATTCAATTTGGTTGTATTCTTTATCGCAATGAAGGGCTTCTATGATACCAATAATAGTCAATAATAATATTGTCTTCATTTTTTTTTTCTAAAAAGAAAAAAGACAAATAAGCACAATATAAAGAAACTACATAAAAATAATTTTTTATTCGAACGTTGTTTTTCCGACAGAAAACATAGTAGAAAAGTAGAACTTTTGTACCTATTTTTATACTTTATAAAATACTTTATAGGCCATGGCCTCTAAAGTTAAGTGCATAAAGTTTTGCATACCGATTAGAATTCTCAAATCTGAGGTAGGTTCTTTCGTATACCATTTTTGATGTTTTTAGGAATCAAAATGAAAGACGACAAAGGACCCCCCACTTTTTACATTGATTTTGGGTACTGACAGAATTTGTTCAAATTTTAGTATATTATTTTTTAGGTCATTAGGGGCAAGTTTCTTATGGACCTCAAGTAGGCAGCTCTACAAGGTGAGCAGTTAAAAAGATTCAAAAGTAAGAAGTGCAGAATTAATATTTTCAAATATATATCTACGACTCTTCATCAATTCTTAAATTAATAAAAAATATATAAATAAATAAAATTATACTTTAGAAAATAAATTATACTATACAGCGTGTTCAAAGAATTAGGAATATTAGTTTCTCAAATATGGTGCATTTTACATGTATTACCATAGTTAGAATATGACTTCTGACCATTTTTTTGTTTCATTTCATATAAGATAATTTTTATAAGTAAAACAGGGTGTGATAGAACTACATAAACAACTAAGAATTACAAAAACGCATTTAACGAAAAATTGGTATACCTAAAATATTGTAGAAAGTCTAGAAACGAATTTAGTTTTGTTCGTATTATAATCATAGCTCTGTTTATCTAAGCAAGTCCCGTTCTACGCCTACTTAAACTCTGACGTGAATAAATGAGTCAGAAGACATATTCTAATTGAAAACTTCTAAATTTAAATATATTTTTGAGGATTAATGTTAGTTAAATTAAAACATAAAAAGAACTTTTACAGTTTTTTTAATAGTATTTATTTAAAAACTTCGTGATATGAATACTATATTGTCACCCAAAGTCTACCCTGTGCTTTGTTTATTACTGTACTGCAACAGGAAGTCTAGCGCTCGCTATATAGAGATAAACGCACCGCTTCTCGAAACTGTCGGAATGATCGCGGTGCGGCGTATGAGTCATAGGAGCCGAGAGAGTTCTGGTATAGAGCTGGCTTTAAATAAATAGCGTGAGTTCGTCGATGGACAAAAAGATTGAATTTAAGTGTTGGACTAAAGAGATAAATTGTAATAAATAAATTAAAATTGCGAGTGTCTAAGTATTAAATAAATTAATTAGTGCGTTATAAATTAACTGTAAATAAATAAACTATAAATAAATTAAACAAACGTAACAATATTTTTATCTTACTTTAAATAATTTTTTAAACCTATAACATAACTTTTTTGTATTTCTTTGTTTAATAATCACAATAATTACAAAATAATTCTACAACATAAAATGTTGGCGAGTGTTAGATTAAATAACAGCTACATTATCATGATAGAGTTAACACGTTGCTATCTTTGCAATTTCAGACTACATTTGCTGCGTTTGTTTATCCATATCAGATGCATCTGAGATGTGAATCTTTGATCACGTGATTCAAGATACGTAAATTAGTTGGAGCAGATGTGGATAAACAAACGTTCGACAGGTAAAAAATCGGATGTGGATATTCAAACGTAGCAATTCTTTTTTACATTGTATATTTTCTTCTTCTTTTTTAAGCTGTCATTAAGAATAATTTCAAAAGCTTGTTATTAGCAGGGCTCACATACTTTGATTTTCTTTTACTATACGGAGAATGGTCGCACTGCGCAGCTTTCTGAGTGCCTTTTAAAAGGAGATAGAAAACTCCGCCATTTTGAATCCTTGTTACGTGTTGCCTACATCTTGGCGCAATATTTTTAATAGGTGCGTTTTAATCATCCGCTTCTGCTTCGGAATTGTCGGTTTTCTTGTTTTAATCTGACAGGTTAAAACGACTAAACCGACAATTCCGGAAGCAGAGCGGATGATTAAAACGCACCTGATATTTTGCTTGCTGCTGTCAGTGTCAGTGAATATTATTAGGCATTCCAACGACCTGTCAAACTGCTGACAAGTGGGCACTGACATTTAGATAGAGCAACTCTGTGAGCCTGTTGTCATTGATAGGGTCAATCATACATATATAATTATAGAGATTGCTCAAAGCAAGTTGGTTACGATCGGCCATATTGCCTCGCTAGTGCTCATTAATCAGAATCGATTTTAAAAAAATGTGTTTACAAACCAAAATTGAGCCTTTGGATATAGTAAAAAAATAAATACCTACATTTTTACTTCAAGGCATAAGCTTATGTTTGTTTTGAAAAATAGGGATGATCAATCTATATAAGTATATATTTCATTGACCTTGTCAAATCACCAGGCCTACAGGGTTGCCATAATTTTACCATATTATAACCTGTCAAAACCCACTGGTAGCCATTTTGTTTGGAATGCCTAATTTTTGAAGTCACAGTTTATTGCTAAAGAATCAGTTAGCTCACTCGGACCAGTTGAAAGTTCCAAAATAACATCCACTCCAGGCATACAAATTTAGGATACGCTGTTTTATTATAGGCGGTTGTCATATATTGTATTATCCGAGTTGCGCAGTGTATAAACTGGAACATTGAGATCAAAAGTGCCGATGCAGAGTGAGCGATCTGATTCTTTAGCTATAAACTGTGGCATAGGGATCAAAATGTCCGCGCCCTATGTTGGGCGTGTCGGACCTCTCTCTTGCACTGTATAGTAAAAAAAATCAAAGTATGTGGCAGGGCTGGTATATCTAAGGGGGTCGCGACATACAAGTCCATTTTGGACGCCAGTTTTTTTGAAATAGTAGTCGCCCATTGATCTGACAACCTGTAGTCGCCAGGCTTGTCAATATAATAAAAAAAATCAATGTCTTTTTCTAAATGACATTTTCATTGTAAAATACTCATATTTTTTAGGATAAAATATTTAAATTTAATAAATTATTAATAATCTCATATGTACATAGAATACGTCGTGAAAAGTAAATCACTTTCAATTTTGTGCTGTTTTGGTTTGGTTTATTTTAAAAGGTAATTGAAGAGATGAAGAAAAATTTTTTATAGATGGGGATGCATAACAAATTATGGCTCCCATTTTTAGACCTCCAGTCCCCTAAGTCTATTTATTTTGGGCCTTTTTAAATTGTTGGTAGGTATTATTCACTTCATTTGTATGTTTTTATTTAATTTAAATAATTCTGTGAAATACCTTGTGATTTGTTTTCTATACATTTAAGCATGTATTTGTTGGCTATATCTTACAAAGTATGGCTTTGAAATACCTTTAAAACAGAGATACTTTCCTAAAACTGGCCGAAATTTGAAACTAATAGAGTTATTAGAGAAAATCTCCAGTCAAAATGTCTGCATGCAGTAACAGTAGCATAGATTAACAAAGCTGAAAAAAGAGTTGGAAAAACCTATGTCTAGCTTTTTCAATATTTCAGGGCAATAGTGTTAACAGCAGACCACAACAAGAACAACTGAAGTTTAGTAATTCAGCAAAATATTTCAGTATCTCCAGAAATATAAACGCATGAAAACTATAATAGGAAACAAATTAGGAGATTACCTAAATTAGCATATCTAGTGAATATTGTATTTAAAGAATATATTTTTAATCAAAACTTTTTTGGTTCTACTCTAATACTAACCATATAAAAATGCATTTTATAGTATAAAGCAAGATTCGTATCAAATGTACTCACAATTTATAAACATTATTAAACTAAAATAAAACATTTCAAATAACACCTGTTTTTTTATTTAAATAAAACATGTTAAATACATGTTTTTATTAAATACATAAATTAGTCTCAACCACACATTTGTTTTTGATTTTACTTCTAGTGTAAAAGTGACTACTAATTCACAGTCTTTTAAGTTTATTATTTAAAGAGACCAGCTACTACAAAATATCCTATTGATGATAACTAATTTCTATTTAATAATGGTTTTGCATTTATCAACATATTACAACACTTTGTTTATATGAAACATCTATTTAGCTCTTAATTAAATCACATTTAAATCAAATAAATTTTTTTAATTTGAATTTTTTGACTGTGGTAACTGAGTCCATTCGCAAAACCACAAACTTAGTCACTTAAAAATGTTAAAAGAGAATGTCATAAAGGTAAAATCCCTTCTTCTATGATGTTTTCCATGCAATTTTAGGATGTAAACGTTTTATCCAACACCTTTTTTACAATTTATCCCAAGCAACACTATGAAAGATTTAAATGCTGGATTTACAGCATTCAGTTTAGAGATGACTGCAGTCACAATGCAGTTTCAGAGATAATTTTCAAATGAACACATATTTACCACAGCACAAACGCATGTACCTATTCATGTAACATTAAAATAAAGTGGAAACAAATTGCATAATTTGGTATATAAAAAAGTACAAAATGTTTTTAGTTTTAATTCGACACTCGACTACGAGGAAAACAGTGGTTCATTCCACTTGTACCACATTGACATTATTATGCACGATGCACGTTGAAAGTAGATCTGTCTCTGTTTTTATAATACTATTACGGCAGGACAAACGATAACCGTGGATTTCGCTAAACGAACATCAGAAAAGTGTTGCCAACTTAAGCTGACTACTGTTTCCCCCTAGCCTCAGTCACCCCCTCATTAGGAATTTTTTGATAGTAGGTAGTTTATTTTTGTTAAAAAACTTTCTATGTGGCGGCCTTCGTCATTTTACGAAATATTTGAGATTTGCGAATAATGTGAAGTACACTTTATTTATAGAATCCAATAAAATTCAAGAGAATCCCCATTACTAGGTATTACTGTACATGTAAGATTGGTTCAAAAAGTATATGGATGTGTGCTCATATTTCAAGTGTTTTGTGATACCTGGAATACGCACGATTCGAAAATTATATATAGTACCCTTTAAGTGTTTTATTAAGGACTATTTTAGATG